GCGCGCCCTATAGCAAAAAAAACTCCCAAAAAAAAAAAAAAAAAAAAAAGAAAGAAAGAAAGAAAAAGAAAATACGTTTAAACACAGAATGTGGCCAGGCGACTCAGTAGTCTTAACTTTCCCCTTGCACAACAGTTTGCCTACATTAGTATAGTACAAATACTGTACTAGAGTAAGTGAACAAGAGGGACAGACAGACATAGTATGTCCTGACCCTCACTTACTATATGTGATATTTAAGATAGTGAGATGCAGCTACCCAGAAGGATGATCAATAATACTAGAAAGTCATTTTGGGATCTTGTGTCATTCTCCAAAGAGTGAGTTTATTTATTTTTCCTTTTTAAATTAAATTAAATTTATTTATTTTTCTTTTTAAGAGATTGAGAGGGATTTCATGTAGTAACTAACAAGACCTAGATTAAGGGCATGAAGGGATCAAACCACTCTCTGATTCTCGGTCCAGCATAAAGTCAAACAACTTCCTAGTATTGCCATTTAATTTTTCAGCCCTCTGCTGGTGAGATTTTTCGTATAACAATAGGCTAAGCAGTTTAAGATACTCAACTGGCAGCAAAGAAAGGTTAGTTCAAAGTGCATGTTCTGGCTCTGTGAGCTTGAGTAGGGTAGAAAGCGAACTTCATCCTGAAAGGAGAAGAGCTGAAAGCTCTTCCATTAAAAATTGGTACAAGACACGGATGCTCACTTTCTCCACTCCTTTTCAATATAGTACTAGAAGTCCTCACCTAAAAAGACATTCAAATGGGAAAATAAAAGGTTACACTCTCTATTTGCAGATGACATGATTATACATAGAAGACCCAATGATATCCATTAAAAAATTCCTAGAAGTAATATGAATACAGTAAAGTTGCAGGATACAAAAATCAACATTTAGAAATCTATAGCATATCATATACGAACAACAGGCAGACTGAGATAGAACTGAAAAAAGTAATTCCATTTATCATAACCTCAAAAAGTATAAGATATTTAGGAATAAATCTAACCAAAGAAATTAAAGACCTCCACAAGGAAAACTATGAGAAGCCGAAGAAAGAAATTGAAAATGACCAAAAAAAAGTGGAAGTGTGCGTGTGTGCCCAAGATCCCGAGAAGAGAATGGAGGAGAAGGGATTGCGGCGTGACCATCCCCCCTGGGGGGTGATTTCTCGCTTTCTGTCTCAAAGACCTTTATAAAGAAAACTATGAAAATCTTAAAAAAGATATTGAAAATGACATAAAAAAGTGGAAGAACATCCCATGCTCCTGGATTGGAAGAATTAACATAATCAAAATGGCAGTTCTACCCAAATTAATCTGCATGTTTAATGCAATCCCAATTAAAATACCAGAAATATTCTTCGCAGATCTAGAAAAGACAATCATAGAATTTGTCTGGAATCATAAAAGACCTCTTATTGCCAAAGCAATCTGCACAACAAGAATGGAATAGGTGTCATTTATATTCCAGACCCTAAAATATACTACAAAACTGTGATAATCAAAACAGCAAACAGCATGGTACTGGCACAGAAACACACATGTGGAACAATGAAACAGAACAGAATCCCCAGAAATAAATTCCAAAACATACAGTCAACTGATTTTTGAAAAGGGGTACCAGTCAATAAAGTGGAAAAAGAAAAACCTCTTCAGCAAATGGTGCTGGAAAAACTAGATATCCAATTTCAGAAAGATGAATCTGAACCCCTATCTCTCACCATTGACAAAAATCAACTTAAGGTGGATTAAAGATCTAAACCTAGACCTCAAACAATAAAACTACTGGTGGAAAATACTGGGGAAACTCTGGGAGACATTAGGGTAGGCAAAGATTTCCTAAATAAGACTCCCAAAGCACAGTCAATAATCCCAAAAATAGACAAGTGGGATTACATCAGACTAAGACACTTTGCATGACAAAAGACACAGTAATAATGTGATTCGACAGTCCTCAGAATGGGAAAATATTTTTGTAAACTATGTGTCAAATAAGGGGCTGATAACTAGAATACGCAAAGAACTCAAGCAACTGTCCCAAACAAAGATGATCAACCCTATTAAAAGATGAGAGAATGAGTTGACAAAAACCACTCTCTAAGGATGACTTACCAATAGCTAAAAGGCATATGAAAAAATGCTCAACATCCCTCATTGTAAGGGAAATGCAGATCAAAACAGCAATGAGATACCACCTAACCCCTGTCAGAATGACTAAGATTAAAAAAACAGAAAATGATAAGTGCTGGCAGGGAGGTGTGGTGAAAGGGTCATTCTCTTACACTACTGGTGGGAATGTAAATTGGTCCAGTCACTGTGGAGAACAATTTGGAGATTCCTCAAAATTCTTCAAATAGAACTTCCATATGATCCAGCAATCCCACTCCTTGGTATCTACCCTATGTACAGAAGAATTCTTAATTGGAAAATTGCTTGCACATTAGTATTTATTGCAACATTATTCACAATTGCTAAGACATGGAACCAACCCAAATGACCAGGAAAAGATGAATGGATTGAAAAACTGTGGCACATGTACTCTATGGAATACTACTCAGTCATAAAAAATAACAAGACCCTGGCTTTTGACAGAAAGTAGATTAATATGGAAGATTTACTGCTGAGCGAAACAAGCCAGGTTATGAAGGAGAGACATTGTATGTCTCCACTTCACATATACCAAGTGTCTGCACTCCATGACTGAGACTGAATGACTAAAGGATATAGAAACATAGCAAATGGTAGTGAATACCAGATATAGGGTAGAAAGAGCGTGGGTAAGGGAATAGAATCTGAGGAAGGATACTTACGAGAAAAATAGAGAGGCATAGCATTAATCAGACAAAGAAATGGGATATTATCTGTTGAAGATAACTTTATAGTATTATAAACTGGACTGGGGAGAAATGCACACATGTTGGAATATTCACTTTGCAAGCTAAATAATGTGATTGAATGTATCAAAGAACTTGAAATAAAATTTTTAAAAAAAAGAAAAAAGAAAGAAGGAGGGTTTTTGTGCACAAGTGCTCCTGTTGTGGGTTTAAATGATGAGCTGGCGTGAGTAATTCAAACACCTAATTTTTGAAGCACTGAATGAGAAATTTCTTTTTGTAGCATTTCAATAATTACCAAGCAAACACAACTTTTGGGTCTGAGATTTTACCAACTGGTAGAAATAGTTTCCAAGATTTTGTTTAATTTGTCTTCTAAAAGAGGTTGTTACATATCATAATTTGCATTAGGAACAATAGACAGCAACCATGATTTTATAACTTCATAAGTTTATCAAAAGAAAGGAAAACAAAATTA